CCCGCATTTTCTTTTATATATGTATATAGATATATAGTAAATAATTGTTGTAAAAATGGGGATATGTGTAGTGATGTGTGTTTGAATTTGGTAGAATGAAAAAGGGATGAACAGTGCACTGGCTGTAACATCAAGCTCGATTTCGACCTTGATGCAGTCCATATCTCTCAAAACTTAAAACATGAAATTTGTAGAGCTCTCTCTTAGGATTCCATATCACCTTGAATCATCTCAATCGGAACTAGGAGGAAGGAGTTATGCCCATATTACGAAGTAGTGTCTACACTGTCCAAAAATCTGTCCGACAGACTACCTTTCGCTAATTTCATCATAACTCTTTATTGGAAAGTCCGAATTGTGTACCGTTATTTTTGTTAGAACCCTAACTCGTATATCTTTCCAACCATATAGGTTACACCTCCTAGAAATACCTGAGTCAAATCAGTTTATTCTATGAAGTTGACCAAAAATCTGCACAATGGTGCTCCTTGGATAGTAAAGGGTTGTGCTTTCTTATTAGACCTTGAAGGTGTAAAACCCCATATGTTTACATTAATATATTAATGTACTTGTTTAGTGATTCTTCTATATGTAATGACTTAAGAATAAACCATATATATATTAAAATCGTAAGGATATCACCTATAGTAGTTCGAAGGAATAAAATAGAAATTTTAATGTTCCAAGTGTGAATTTATTTTAGTTTTAAAATAAATCATAAAAAGCAATGTTTTTAGGTTAAAATAACATTAAAAATGAATCCGGAACGTCGAAAAACCTTAGGGTAGTCGTATGGATCAAATTGGAGATTTCTAGTGGCAAAACTGTAATTTTGGAAAAAACTCAAAATTAGCCATGAACAGTGAATTGCGCGGACTGCTGTGTTTAAAACACAGAATCCAGCCCATTTCCTTCCATTTTTTCTCACATCTCTCACCCCCAAACCCCTTAGCACCCTTGGGGAAGATAGAGGAAAGGAGGAAAGGGAGAAAGGAGGTCACTAGAGCTTGGGTTTTTGGTTTGAAACTTTGATTCAAGGTAGGGGTTTTTCTTCCATGCTTGTCCATTGAGGCTAAGGCTAAAATATATATATGTTTTGATTCATACTTGTATGTATTTGCTAGAAATTCCTTGTTTCTTGGTTTTCTTGCAATTATGGCATGTCTTAAACAAAGTTAGGATTGATTACCCATGAAACTTCTTTTATAGCTTTAAAACCCTAGTTTTTGGGGAAATATGGAATTCTCTTTCTACATTTGCTCAAGCTTGGTTTTGAGAACTTTAGTGCTTTGTGTGAGTAATGAAAATGATGTGGTGGTGATCTCTTGTATTTTTCTTAATTGGTTATTTGGATTGTCGCATGATAAAATTTGGGGATTTTGATAATGGTTGCTTGTTGAGGGCAATGTGTGGATTTTATCTTGTATGTGATTGTTGGTATAAAAAGAGGATAATTATGAACCGAGGTTACTCGTAAGTATGCGGTTAAGTGTGGAATACTTGAAGGGGGTAGAGGTTACTTGTAAGTATGCTACCTACCAAAAGAGGATATTTATGAACCGAGGTTACTTGTAAGTATGCGGTTATGTGTGGGAGACTTCAAGGGGGGTAGAGATTACTTGTAAGTATGCTACCTACCAAAAGAGGATATTTATGGACCAAGGTTACTTCTAAGTATGCGGCTATGTGTTGGATACTTGAGGGGGGTGGAGGTTACTTGTAAGTATGCTACCTACCTAAAAGGACATCTAACGACCGTGGTTACTTGTAAGTATGCGGTTATGGGAAACAAAGACTTGAAGGGGGTGGAGTTTACTTTTAAGTATGCCACCTGCCAAAGAAAATATAATAATCGATGGTGGAATAAGCGTTCCTTTTTGTAGTATGGTGTTACTATTGCATTTCCCACAAGAGCTTGTGGAGGTATGGGACTCTACAAGAACTTGTTGGAAATGGTTATGGTTGCTCATTGTGACTTGGGTTTACTGTTCATTTAAATTATTGCGAATGTTTAAACTTGAGATCTGTTTCAAATGTCACGGTTTTACTTCAAATGTTATATGATATTTTGGAAAATAAGACCGAACTGTTTTACTTGTTTTCTAAACCTTGTATGAGTATGGAAGGAATGTTGCTACAGAGCTTAGTGCTCATCCCCTACAGATAATATCTTTTCAGATTTCGTCTATGAGGAGGAGTTACAAGTAGATGAACCAGTGCATGGGGAAGCTCCCCTAGAGGGGAACGGGGATCCTGAATTGGATGCCTAGAGTTATATTTCTTTTGTACTAGACTAGAGAGTTTACTTTGAAATCATGTAAAGTCTAGTATTTTGTTATTTCACTGCAAGTGTAATTTAATTCTTTTGGGAATATATTTGTCATACTTGGCCTATTCTTTTGGGATGGCATTGTGGATATGACATATGATGAATGAAGGTTTATTTTATGATGGATAAATAGACCCGGTGTGGTCAATAGTTATGCATATGTGGACCCGGTGTGGTCAATTGTAATATAATTGTACAGGTTGTGTTTTTGGTAAAGCTCCCCGTACAAAGGAGACTCTGCCCAAATTTTGTTAAAATATGAATGGTTGATGAAAGAACTTTCGTTGTGATGAATTTACGTAATGCTCTCATGGTGTGAATGGTTTTTAGAATGTAATGTCACCCAATGAGATTTTTGGGGCGTTACAATATTAGATCGACTCAATTAATTAAATAAGTCGATAAGGATTGACATGAACTCGAAATTAAACGACATGAACATAACAACATGATGCGATTGTCCCTTCCAGTTTTAGTCTACTGTTTATCCAGGTAAAATTGATAGGATTCTTTGGAAGCCGATGCACGTAATTAGACTTATTTGACAAAAAGTACATATAACAAAATATTTTGAAAAAAAATATACAACTGAGATATAAAGACGTAAATATCTATTTTAGGGTCATTTAATTCAAAATCTCTTATCTGTAATGCACATTGATTCATGTGTATTTGTTAATACATATAAATATGTACATATATAAATTCATATATATATATATATATATATATATATATATATATATATATATATATATATATATAATGCATAAATCAATGTGCATTAAATATAATTTGAAAACAAAATCACTTTCCCAAAAAAATTCTCATGAATCACGGGAGGACATACAAATATGAAATATTAAAGTTTTCTCATAAAACTAGGAGATCTTTAATACACCACTTCCCAAAGAAAATACACATGGATCAATGAAGGACAAAAATATCACAAAAAATTAATAAAATTCAAATAATGTACTTAGATACAAATAAGTATCAAAATTAAGGACTTAATTACCTATTATTTTTTTCTGTGTATTTTTTTACAATTAAGTCTAATTTTGTTTACCCCCTTCCAATTTCCCCAAATTCATATGGTAACAGTCTAGGAGTGTCCATGGGCCGGGTTACCCACGGGTCTCATTATCCAGTCCAAAAAAATAGGCCCGAAACTCGATAGTTGGCCCGCCCGAGCCCAATATCCTTACAAAGAGGGCTTGAGTTTGCCCCCAAACCCAATACCCATCTCAAAGCCTGCCCAAAAAAATCAGTTAAAACCCGGCCCAAGAGCCCGCCCACTCTTCTTTTGAAAAAAAATTATATTTTTAGACTATTAAATTTGAAATTTTAAAATAAATCTCCTAATGTCAAAATTTGAAGTTTTAAAAATTTAGATACTATAAATAATGTATTATTTTATTTTTCATGTATTAAGCACACAAATTTTAGGAGGTAGAGTAATGCAAATGATAGATAAGTGAGTAGGTGACAACCTAATTGAGATGTTTTCATTCTATTAGATGTAGTTCATCCCCTAATCAAAATTAAAATTATTCATTATTTTATTTTTCTCTATTTTAACTCTACTTTTGATTCAAAAATATAATTTACACAAATATTAAGTTATAAAAATATTCATTATTTTTAAATGAAGTTGTATACAAAAAAATCCGTGAGTAGGCCCACCCAACAAGCCCGCCCAGTGGCTCGCTCAATAGGCTCACGGGTTGGGTTGTGGATAGTCTACCCCTACTTGAAGTTCAGCCCGGCCCAGCCACCTGATAACTCACTTGGGTAATAGATTGGACCTACATTACCCAGGTTCGACCCAAAAAAAATTTGTAGGCCTAGCCCGGCCCATAGACACTCCCAAGTAACACTATTTAGTGGGTTGGAAAGATTACACGCCAATATTATATAGGAAAAATTATATTTTGACCTCTATAACTAAGACCATTTTTTTTATATTGCCCCTTTAACTATCATGTTTTTTACCTCGCACCTTCAACTATGTGATTTTGTTCACTTTGATTGAACATGTTGGCAGTTTCCATCAAAAAAGATAGCGAACAAGTTTAATTTGCGCTGCTGTCTAGAACTCTAATACATCTCCATTATATTAGTAACATTATTTGGGTAAGGGATGCTTTGGTGAGTTTTAACTTTGATTGCAGGGGAAACTTAAACCCCTGCTGATAACTTGAGAGTGTCATAAGAGCTTTTAAACGAATCAAGTCATTGGAGTTTGGTTCATTCAAGCTCATTTACATTAGAAAATAAAATAACATAACTAATTTTCAATTTCCTTTAATATTCAAAATCAAGCTCGAGCAATGCGTCACTCATAACTTAATGGATGACGCTAACTTCTATTCGCAAAGTAGAATGGGAACTTAAGTCAGCAGAATGACAGGAGCAGAGAGAATCCGAGTTAAGAGTAGCTAAAATAGAATTTTTTTATTTTTTATTTTTTGTGCTGGAACTTTGACAATACATGCAATTATATTGTTTACATTGAGGATTATATGGCTATCCACAACAAATTTTTGAACGCCTTCTTGCCTGCCACTTCATCTCTGTGTATGTGTTGTTTTTTTTTGGGGGGGGGGGGGGGGGGGAGAGAGAGAGAGAGAGAGAGACCAGTACAGTGCAACCTTCAGTTCACCCTGGGCTAGTCATCCTCCTCATCTTCTAGTTCTTCTTCATCATCAGTGAGCCCTACACATCACCAAACACGATGGATTTACAATCTCATAGGAAAATGTTCTCAAAAATAGTAGATGTGGAGTGCTTCAAGATCATCAAAAACCCACATTGACTAGTATATACGATGCTTATCAGTAATTCTCTCAATGTCAAATTCTAATATGCAATCAAACAAAAGCTATACTCACATGTAATTTCCATTAAGTCGTTATGAACCCATTCATCACCCGAGCGACGCTGATCCAAGAAGCATTCATGATTGCTAAAGAGGAAAGCTCCTGTGCTCATCTGATATGCTGATAAATCTCCTTCAAAAAAAGTCTGATAAGTAGAATAAATGCTTGGCTTGATCTTGATCATGTCTTCTTCAGTTGGTGTTTTGTCTTCTTCAGTTGGTGTTTCATTATTCTCCTCTTCCAGATTACTGTACACAATATGGACACCACATTGCTTGACCTCAAAAGATTTCGCCATGTCCACTGAAACATTTATTTTACTGCCACCTTTCAACTCCTTCCCCAACTTCCAATGGCTTAAAAATAACATATCTTCATTGGCTTTTGGAATTCCATAGCAGAGTGGTTCATAGATCCACTTCAGACCCGTAGTCTCGTTATTGATTTCAAGCTGAGTATCATCCAGAATCCAACTTCTGTCGCGTTCAAGAAGTGCATACACAATGCACACATTCAAACCTTCTATCTTGAGGTCGAGCTCTGAAGGCACACTAAAAGATATTGAGGACCCTGTAGACCTATGCTTGTACAACTCTGGTACCTCCCTTCCAGGAAGAGAAGTGCTGAATATACCAAATTCGTAAAGTCCCTGCAGCATTGGCATCATGATGGTTAATTCACATGCGCGCGTGGGTGCGTGTGCACACACACCCACACACAAACAGAGAGAGAGAGAGAGAGAGAGAAGAGTACCTGGACAAGACCTTTGTGTTCCAGCTGTGTCAGATTATTGTACAATTCCACCTCAATGTTGTCCATGGAATCAAAATTAGTTAGACCCAAATTGTTCATCATTTTAGCATCAATGTTTGCAATCGGCTCTAGCTTGTACATTCCCTGAACCTCAATTAATTTGGGACACTGAAATAATTCCATGTTTAGTGAACTACCCCAGTTGGGTATATTTGTTATTCTTTCCAATGATGTGCAATTTGATGCATTCAACCCCTTCAAGCTCAATGGAAGCTTCGGAAGTGATTTAAGATTTGTGCAAAAATCTAAACGAAGGATCTCGAGCATGGTGAGATGCTCGATGCTCTCTGGTAGGCTACACATTGGATTTATGCCAAGATCCAACCTCGTCAACAAGGGAAGGCTACTTAGATCCTTTGGAATCAGTTCAGCGGATAGATTGCAGTCCCAGAGACTTAATTTTACTAAAGAGCGAGGCAAAGAGATTTTCGAGACATCAAGACTGTTCCTTGGTTTCGATATCCAGTACCAAAAGATATTTTTCCATGAATTTCCTTCTGGAAAAGAAGAGTTCAGCAAGGTTGTAGTTGTTCTGTTTATATGAAGTACCATCAGTGAATCCAATTTCTCTAACTCCTCAGGCAACTTTTCAAGCTTTGAGCAACCAGTGAGAATGATTTTCTTAAGGGATTTTACCTCACCAATGCTTCTAGGAAGATTCATAAGACTATTGCAGCCTCTTAGATTCAAAACAAGAAGTCTCTGTAGATCTCCAATGGAGTCATGAACCTCAACCAAACTTGTGCAACTTTTAAGTATCAGCCTCTCTAGACTAGGGAGTCCTGAGAAGTCGGGGGTTTTGGTAAGGCCATGGGAATAACTTAGATCAAGGATTTTCAATGACTCAACAATCTGCAACAGAAGAATTAGAAAATAGAGTTATAATTCTAACTAAAATCTCAAATACAAGAAAAGAGTAAAAAAAAAAACTGTACCTTGGTTCCCTTCCAGAGTTGTTTTAAGCTGCTATTGCGCATGTCAAGAACAACCAGGCCCTCCAAAGCAAATTCACCGGGTATGAACTCTAAAGCGAATCCACGCCAACACAACCATATTATTGACTTTGGGAATTCTTTATATCCTCCATTGAATTGTACATAATTAAGCTGTAGAAGCTTGAGGTTTCGCATCATTGTAAATGCGTCAATTTCTAAGTCTACTTGAACTGGTGCAGGAAAAAATTTTGTCAAAGAAGTGGTTATTGGATGCCAGGAGACCCCAAGACGATGACGCTTCAATGAATTGCCTTGGCTTGGTGTTTCATGGCCGGTTGGTCGTTTTCGATAAGTAGCATCAAAAATAGTCTTGGAAGACTTATCTTCCTTTAACATCCGCATGTCCAAGATGAGACCTCGAATAGTTTTTGTGCCCTGAAAATGAAAATCATTGGATTAAATAGCAACAATTCAATCAGAAAAACGATAATTGATGATAGAAAAGCATATTTATTGTATACTTGTTTTCTTTTTCTTTCTAGGTGGGGAAAGGACGAGGGGTATTGGTTGATTTAATAAGAGGTAAGTTTCTTACAGTTTTTTCTCTTAGTACGTAAAATGAATCCTTATGATGCCACAATCTGCTACGTTTCCCAACTTCCTTAGGTGATTCTTGGCGAACAATTTCTCTTCCCATGTCCCGAAGCAGCTGATGCATCATCAGCTTCTTGCCAACGTCAAGATATAGGAGACATCTATCCATGAGGTTTTCAAGTCCAACAATTGAGAAAAAATTATATTTATCTAATATTGTAACCACGTAATCTATGTCCTTTCCCACAAAAAAGCAAGCAATATGGAGGAACAAATCCTTGTCATGATCATCATGTAAAGATTCATAGCTTATCTCAAGTTTTTTCTGGATGTTGTTATCAGAAATTATTTCCAATTTATTCAATGCACTCTTCCATACATCAACACGGCTTCCGCATAAAGAGGAACCTAAAACTTGAAGAGCTAAAGGAAGCCCCCCACAATGTTGTATTACCCTTTTAGAGTCTTCCATATAATCTTCAACCGGATGGTCTTGTCCAAAGGCATGCCAACTAAAGAGCTTAAGTGATTCATCATCATCCAATTCTCTAACCATATACATCTTATATAGTTCATGAGCCTTTAACAATCGCTCATTTCTAGTTGTTATGATTACTTTACTTCCTCGGCAAAACCAATCCCGCATTCCAAATATTGCATTTATTTGTTCCTCTTGGTCCACATCATCGAGTATGACGAGAACTCTTTTGCAACATATAGCATCTTTAATGTTTGTGATTCCTTGATCAACATTCCATATTTTTTCCTTTCTTCCCTTCAAAATATCTGAAAGAAGTTGTTTTTGTAAACGAACCAAACCATTTGGTTGTTCTGAAATTTCTCTGATATTTGCAAGGAAACTACTGCCTTCAAATCTGTCATAGTTTGAGTTATAAACATTTTTTGCAATGGTTGTCTTCCCAATCCCACCCATTCCACATATCACCCCTATGACAACATCATCTGAACCATCCCTCAACCATGAATTAACACCCTGTGCTCGAGAATCTATTCCAATTAGATAGCGGGCGACATTCAAGACCAAACGATTTAGGTTTCTCCTTATTTCTCTAACAATTTCCTGAATGAACTTTGACTCATACCTGCAAATTCCAATGAAAACTATAAAACGACAAACAAATATGCATGTTTTGAATGCACATAAGAATTTTTTTTCATAAATTTATGAAAAAGGAAAATAAAATCCTTGATGTTTAATTTTGTCCACAACAACATTATGGTATAAAATAAGAATTTATGAGAGGATATAGTCATTACTATGGTAAGAATGTCAAGGATCTTTTTAACAAGGATCTTATGTAATTTACTCATGTCAGAATACCGAATATGAGGAAAATAGTGTCATAAGCATTAGCTACAACTAGAGTTCCTTAAACTTTCTGATTACAAACTGGAAAACAACTAGTGGAAACATTCTGAGATCTACCTCCTGAGGACCTTTTTGAGTGCTAAATATTGGCAAATTTGTTTCTGTGGGAACCTCGGCACTATACAATTCCTTTTATTTGGTGTAAATGAGTAATACTACTTGGGCCTAATAATCTGCCTTTTTTTTACCCCTAATCTGCTGTTACAGGTGGATTAGCCACGGATCCAATATTGAATGACTACAGCTGATTAGGTTTGTCTATTAGGTGAAAGTAGGTGTACGATACGTGATTTTGCACTAAAATTGGTTATTGCATTCAATTAGGCATTTGATGGTTAAACCGGTAAGTTTTTCAGATTCTTTCAAGTTCAATCACCAAAGTTCAAAGGGTTAAAAAACACAAAACAGTGCAGAACAAGGATTTTATCTTAGGGGGTCAAACTTTATTTGGAGAAACGTAGACGAACAACATGAATTATGTTTGTATTTCTACATATGAAGAGGGCCCAAGGAAGGAGATGATGGCTCAAGTCTCCAGAGTTTGTGAAAAATATTATGAAATATTAGATCCATGTTGGGGCGTATGGAGAACTAATAATGCTCAAATAGTATTATTGAATCATCCAGACCAACTAGTATAAGATCACCATTACTAACAATCCAATGACAAGTCAACTGTAAAGCTCAAATAGTTTTCATTGTGTCTTAACCTAAAAGTAACGGTGGGACAACTAAGGAGGAAGCACTATTATAAAGAGAAAAGTATCAATAAATCTTACTTTTCCATGTAAAAAACCATTAAGTCATGTCATATTTACATTCCAACAATTAAGTCTTACTTTTCAAAAATTATTCTCATGAAGCCTAAACTCAATTAATAACCTGTATTCTTCTAATTTTATCCTTCTATGGTACCATATATTACATTTTTACCTTTTATTTCAGGTAACCAATTTTAGTTTGGTTAAAAATTATTTTATATAAATATTTAGATACCTAAAATTCTAATTGCATTCATTTAAATAACCAAGCTTGATTCGAATTCGCTTTGAATTCAAATTTAATTGGTCACATATACATTAGTATTTTTGGCAAATTATTTAATTCTGGTTTTAAATTTAACTTTGGTATACCTTATTTCACAAATTCAGATTTGAATATATTGATATCTTATCCACGTACGAGCAATAAAAATTATGTACATAAATATATACATATAATATGAACTTACACAATTATTTAGTGAATTTTGTTTAAAATTTAAATGTTGTTTAATAAATATATCTAAAATTTAATTGTAAAGGATGGAATGAGATTTTATTTTTTAATGGATAGGGATATAAATTATGAACATGAATTCCATTGGATATTCAAATCAAATTTGGACAAGAGTTTTTAAATTGGATTTGATTAATTTGATCAATTGACATACTAAGTGAAGAACAAAAGATAACTCAAACTTAAATGGCATTTTGGTGATTTAATGGTAACGGGCAATGAAATGATATAATGTTTTTAGGACTTTATGGGAATACATCATCAAAAGTAGGATTTCATTATCCTAACATATATATGCTCGGACTTAAATAGTTTTATAAGACAAAAAGTAGAACTTCTTTGAAATTTTACCTATTATAAACACATCATGTTGTGTTGGGTAAAGAGCAAGGATGGAGCTAGGATAATCGTATGTGGGACAGCAAAAATAATGGCACACTTAAGAATGTCATTCAATGGGGTCATTCCACCAAATACGGTTAAATGTTATATTTTTAGTTTAAAGAACCAACTACTGTTAAT